GCACTTCCCGACGCCGGCTAGCCAACTCTGAGTTAGAAGGCCCATTTCTAAAGCCCAAAATGATTCTCTCATTTGGAGAAACCCTAAGTGACGCCCAAAGATGTCTTGAACACTATAAATACATGTTTTAGGAATCCTAATTCGTATCACCTCAATTGCTCTTATTGTTTTAGAACACTTTTTCAGTTTTAGCTTTTTAGGGAGAGAGAGATTTGTCGCTTGAACCCTTGTTCTTTCTTTTTCAATTTCGATTATTGCTCTACTTTTTAATACTATGTTTTTGATTTCGTTCATCATGTCTGAGTAGTTTTATTGTTGGGTCTAAGGGATTTTTGATGGGGATATATATGTTCGATGAGGATTCCATGAGCTATTGAAGCCGAATCTTAGAACTTTTTCTTCTGAATTCACTTTTGCTGCATGAGAGTAGCGTCATGAACTACAATCTGATCCAGATGCCTGGTGACACGAAAGTGTTCATCCGGTGTCAGATCTAGTTTGGGAGAGAAAAACAAAAATAGGAGTGGAAACCTACCTATGGGCGATTTGTGAATGCTGACGAGTCTTAAACATAATGCATCTTTTCTCTTCCAGGGCCAGAGTGGAAACCTACTGGTCAGGGTTGAGAGAGATAGTTGTCTATGATCACGACAGTGGCGTATTCATACATCTGTGACTCTAGTTCGAAAAGTTTAAGCTAAGATCTTATAAAATTTACACTCTGGCAATGTTTTGAATCGTTCATACCCCAGAGAAAACGTCCCTGAAACCCAGCGCCTTCTTTTCTATAGATTACATCGATTTTATTGCTAGCTTTAGTTCATTATTTTCATTCTCTTAATCGATTTTCATTTAAGCAATTAGGTTTAGCCGTTTTTCTCGTTTTTAGTCGATTTCGTTAAGTTTAGTTATTAGGTCATTTTAATTTCTGTATTTTCTCGTTAAGATTAGTTTTTACGTTTTAAAGACACCACCAAAACCCTTACAAAAATTGCCTGGTTCTAGACTTCCTTACTTTATATTTCTTTTGAAGGCTTTTTCAGGAAAGATCCTCATTCCCTGTGGATTCGATCCCTAAGTACTACAATCGATCAGCTGTGCACTTGCGGCTATTGATTCCATTTAGGGTAAAACTTGACAACCCTCACGACAACACACATCATTCTTCTAGAATCTTTTCACCAATGTCTTCAAGACATTTTTCTTTATTCGGTTCTTCTGGAACCTTGTCTCCCAATTTCTTTTTCTTTCGAGGATTTTCATCCTTCGAGCCCATCGGCCTCCCGCGCCTTAATTGAACCCGCGGTTCATTTGCTTTATTCCCATCAATTACTTGTTCCGGAACATTTATTTTTTGATGGAGCATTAGCAACAGGGATATATGATTTTGTCACTCTTCTCGTATCTATGAACACATCAGGTAACTTGTTTGCCAAACTTTGCAAATGTATAACTTTCTGAACTTCCACCTCGCATTGATGGGTAGGCCGATCAAGATAAGCCAAGGTTTGTGTACACCATGTGATATCCTTTGGTGATTCTGTTGATCCTCCCCCCAACGCTGGGAATTCATTTTCATCAAAGTGGCAATCGGCAAAACGTGCCGTAAACATAACTCCAGTTACCGGTTCAAGATATCTAATTATACTTGGTGACGTATAGCCGATATATATTCCCAATCTTCTTTGTGGCCCCATTTTTGTTTTTTGCGGCGGGGCTATTGGGACATAGACCGCACATCCGAAAATAAGGAGATGGGATATATTTGGCTCCTTGCCAAATGTTAACTGTATTGGGGAGTATTCATTATATGCACTTGGCCTCATCTGGAGCAATGCCCAGCATGCAATATAGCATGTCCCCATACAATAAATAGGAGTTTTGTTCTCAAATTAACGGTATTGCAATCAACTGCAACCGTTTTATCAAAGACTCAGCCATGCCATTTTTTTGTAGGAACATGTGGAACCGGGTGCTCAACATTGATTCCCAATGACATACAATACTCATTAAAGGCTGCTGAAGTGAATTCACCAGTGTTATCAAGCCTGACTTTCTTTATGGCATATTCAGGGAACTGCGCTCTCAACCTGATTATTTGGGCAATGAATCTTGCGAAAGCCATATTTCTTGTGGTCAATAGACACACATGTGACCATCTACTAGATGCGTCAATTAATAACATGAAATATCTAAATGGCCTGCACGGTGGGTGAATCGACCCACATATATCACCATGTATTCTCTCTAAGAATACAGGGGATTCATTCCCAACTTTGGCTGGCGAGGGCCTAGTTATGAGTTTTCCTTGAGAACATGCCTGACATAAAAACTCTCCCGATTGAAAAATCTTCTGGTTTTTCAATGGGTGGCCACTCGAATTTTGCACAATTCTTCTCATCATGACTGATCCAGGATGGCCAAATCTTTCATGCCATACTCTAAATGTACTAGTAAACCTCGAGTTTACTGTAACATAGGATTCAGTCATATTTATTTTTGTGCAATATAACCCAGAGGACATCATTAGTAATTCTTCCAATACATGTTTCCTCTCAGATGTAATGCAAAGATATTCAATGCCATTCTTATTTGTACTTGCTATATGATATCCATTTCTACGGATATCTTTAAAACTTAGCAAGTTTCTGCTAGATTTGGGGGAATATAACGCATCACTTATTTTAAACTTTGTCCCTCTTGGCATTGAAAAATTAGCTCGGAAATTATAATATTTGCATTACCAGATATGGTACTCATGCTTCCGGTGGAGTCCTTTATTTTGAGACAGGAGAAATACTTTTTATCTTTAAGTATAGTATGTGTCGTAGCATTGTCTTGCTAGACATGTATCTCCATCCTAAATATGCAAAGAAAATGCATTAATAAACTAAAACATGATTTTAGAAATTATTTTATATTAAGAAAAACCTTTTCTTGTTACACAAAAATATATTACATTCTTATTTATATTTACATTGGTTTTTCTCGTCTTCTTCAAGAAGACTTTATATTACGCCGATCTTAATCGCTTTGTTTCCGTTGATTCTTTGGGGTCAACAAGGAAATCAGCGATATCAAGATGAGTATAATCACTTATGCCATCAAAGGAAGGTCTAGCTTCAGCAGAGATGAAATTGGTTTCAAAATTTTTTTCTTTATCCTTTTATTTGGCATTTTGTGATGCTCCGTATAGATCAGCTAAGTGTCTTGGCGTACGACAGGTACATGCCCAATGATTTTTCATGTCGTATCTGTAACAAGCGATTTCTTTTTGCTTTTCTGCTTCCCGACCAACATCATTTTGTCTTCCTTGTCCACGACTTCGTCCTTGACCGCGGTAACAGCCTCGACCATGCCCGCGTCCGTGTTCAGTCCTATTATTTTGACTGGATGACGCTACATTCGCTTCTGGAAATGGCGATGATCCAGTTGGACGAGTTTGATGGTTTAACATCATGAGCTGATTATTTTGTCCAGCCACAAGGAGGACTTGCACCAACTCCGAGTAAGTGGTGTAACCTTTTGCCTGGTATTGTTGTTGCAGGATTACATTTCCAGGATGAAATGTTTGGAGAGTTTTTTCGATCATAACGAAATCACTTATCTCCTGTCCACATAACATCATCCTAGAAGTAATTCTGAACATCGCAGACTTATATTCACCAATACTATTGTAATCCTGGAACCGGAGGTTCAACAATTCATGTTTGGCTTTCGGTAAGATCACATAGTTCTGGTGATCAAACCTATCTTTGAGTGATTACCAAAGATCTACAGGATCTTCTTTCGTGATGTATTCCTGTTTTAAACTATTATCGATGTGGTGGAGCAAAAATATCATGGTTTTCGCCTTTTTCTCATCTGATATCGCTATCGATTTATCGATGGTATCGAGAAGCCCGTTTCCTCTTAAATGCATTTTTGCACCTACTGCTCATGACATGTAATTTTTACTAGACACATCAAAGATAGGGATTTCGAGCTTCGCCAAATTTGACATGTATATATATCATAAATTTAGCAGAAATTCAATTTAATATTTTTTTTAAAGAAACATGACAAAAACTTTTTAATATCCGTATTTAATAAAAATATATACTTAGGCAATATAAAAGCAGAACCTTCTATATAATTGAGGAGGCAGAACCTACCATAATTTTAAAGAGGAGGTATAACCTTATACTCCACAAATATAAAATCAAGGAAGAGGCTTAGCCTTCCACTCCATATATATGATCTAAGGAGACATAGTCTACCATATGATCATATGATCGTGAAAGCATAGCCTATCATAACGATCAGTTCGGGAAAGGCGGAGCCTATCATCCCGTAAACTTGAAATAAATTGAACATAAATTTAAATCAACGGTTCGGAGAAGGCAGAGCTTATCATCCTGAAATAATATATAAATTTAAAATAAACTAAACATAAACTTTTCTTTTCTATATATTATAAGGTAAGGTTATTTGTGTTTGTATATGTATATATATATATATATATTGTATTATTCTTTGTTTTGGTAGAATGAGAGAAAGACGAGAGAGAGAGAGGGAGCACAAAACTGATTCTTCTTCGTACAGCTTCTCATTATTGTTGTGCAACATATATTTATACAACGAAGGAGAAAGGTGGTAGGTAAAGTAAATGGACAACAAATTTTGTTACCTACCCCACCTACGTGGATAATTATTATCCAACATATTTTTCTTTTTTTTTTTTTTTGAAATGAGTTCGCCCTAGCTCTCATATTCTCTCTAGTGCCGAACTATATGGACTCGTTCAAGTTGGCCTTTGCTTCTTGATTCTCGATAGTTTTGGCTTCCTTTTCTCCAACATTCTTCTTTGTTCTTTTCTCCCTGTCCTCTGTCATTTGCTTTGATTCTCTACCCTCTTCTAAACTTTCGTCTTCCCCACTCTTGTTTCCCTTTCTCTCCTTTTCTTCACTTCAGATTTCTTTGCCTCAAATTGTTGTCTCCCCTTTTCATCCTCTCTCTCGATGACGAACTCTGGAAAGAACTCTCCTTCTCACACAAATCCCTCTTCGGAGGAGGATACTCCGGTGGTTATCCCACCGTTTGATAACTCTGCTCTGCTCGCAAGGTTCAGGCTCACCCTCATTGGAAGGACCTTCCACGTCGATGGTAGGAGCACAGAGGCACTTCTCACTTTCATTCCCAGATCCGGTATTTGGGAAGTTGCTGGACGTGTTCGTGGTGTTGACCTCGGAAATGGAAGGTTCCATTTCGACTTTGACTCGGAGGAGGACCTCAAGAAGGTGCTGAAGAAGAGGCCTTACCATTTTAACAAATGGACCTTCTCTCTGAAGCGTTGGGAACCAAAATCTGGGATGACTTCCTAACTACTGTAACTTTCTGGGTAACCATTCGCGGCATTCCTCTCCACTATTGGGTGGATGAATCTTTCAGGGGTGTTGGTGATGTGGGTGCAGTGGGCAACACAAGTTTTACCCTAGACAACTGCAAGTGCACAGCAAACGCAGTAGTAGTATTTAGGGATCAAATCCACAGGGATTTGTGTGTTGAGGACCTCTAAATGATGCTAAAAACAATCGTAAACTTAATCTACTAAAAAGGGGTTTTGGTTTGTCACTAAATCTAATTATGCAGAGAATTAAAATGCTAAAAATAAAAATCAGTTGAAAACTATATGAAAAACGGTGCTGGTTCAAGGTTCATCTTTAGGGTTCATGTTCTAAAACACAAGGAATTTAGGCAAGGATTTTATATGACTCTGAAACTAGGATAGACACATCTAAGATTAGACAACTCTCGTCACCCTAATCATCTAATCACTTGTTCATGGCAATTTACTCTCGCTCTCATGCCAGAACAAGATCATGCATTGTAGATCGTAATCTATCTCGGCTTACGTATCCTCTGTAGGTAGCTTTCGTCTCCTACGACAGTGACGTCCATAAGATCCAGTTCAGGAAACCTAGATACAACACTCTCGTTGCTTAGATTTAACCTAGGATCGGATTCTGGGTGATCAATCCAGAATTACCGCTTTGAGATTTGGATGAATGGGAGAATCATGATAAAAATCAAAATCCTTTTTCCTAAAAATCTAGATGTCATTCGAACATGGGGTCCCTTTGGATTACCCTTTCACCCAACTAGGTGACTACTCAGACATGGCAGAGGTAGATATCATCATCGGTTTAGATATAAGAAGAAGAAAAATAAAGAAACTGATAACGTTTTCAAGTCTCTAAATGAGGGGTTATCAATCCCTTTTGTCACTTTGCAGTACAAAGGGTATCAATCCATCATGTGTAGACACTAAGATGCAGGATCAGTTCTTAATTCAAGCCAAATGAGTGATGTTTTGATGTTACTTCCACTAAACAAGCTTAAAATAAGAATTAAAGCTAATGATCAACTTAAACAAGCAAGTAAATAGACTAAATGAGATGAGAATGTATGTATGATGATGAGAAAGGTCATAGACATGATAGTGGATTAGGGTGCCTTTGGTACTAAACTAATGAGCTAATGAATCATGTGATCAAGCAAACCATTCAACTTAAACATCATTAACTAAGCTAATCCTCTCATGAAGGCATTAACTTCTATGTTAAAACAGTTTCTAACCTAATAATCATTAGTGAAACATGAGTTAACAAGCATTGAGAACCAGTTTAATCTGTCATTTAAGCATATAAACAATCATTCCCATGATGAAAAATACTTAAACCTCTAACAACCTTGGTTCAGGCATTTCATCAAACACTTTTGCTGCATGAAATGCCCAGAATCTAGACCACATATGATGTGTATGGATCTAGCATAGAGAACAGGTTGTAGAGAATGGAGTATGAATGATCTAATCCCTAAGCTCACTAATCTAACACCTAAGCACCCTAATCTACATATCTAAGACCTTAATATAGGGATTACTCACTAATCATACTAATCTCTCTTAAACCTTTGCAAGTTGAAAAGATTGGCATGATTAATGATGAGAAATGGAGATGGAGAAGATGGATAATGATGGATTTGCAGCTTTAAACTCACAGATCTCTCAAACTCTCTTGATTAGAACCCTTAAAAATCGATATTACTCTTCTAAAAAGGGAGTCTTTCACAAAAGAGGCAAGAAACAAAAGGAATAAAGCTTAAGTTCTTGGGGTAAAACTCTAAAAAACTATATATAGGTCTTAAAACGAACCGGGTCAGCCCGGAACAAACTGGGTCCTGACCCGGCTTTAATGGGTAAAATGTCAAGTGTGCGAGTTGGTAAGGAGCTTCCCAAGTCGCATGCCCAAGTTGCAGAGCCAAAGAAGCAGTCTTGTAAGCCTTAAGTCCTTCAATCTCAGCCGCATGCCCATCTAGGTGTGTTCTGCGAGTCTTCGTGCGATTCAGTCTTCCTTCTCTTCAACCAGCATGACCAAGACGAAATCTGGGGAGAATATGTGTGCGAGTTGGTCATCCTTTAGTCCCAAGTCGCATGCCTAACTCACAAAGGCATAGAAAGAAACTTCAGCGAGATAAAATCATGTAAGCCAGGGCGCACTCCTCTCTCGGTGTAAATTGTGAGTCTTCATGCGGCTCAGTTCCCTTTGCTCCCTAGCTCGCACAACCATGTAGCACAGAACTTCAGAAATATGTGTGGGACGGTCTTCGTTACTCCCAAGTCGCGGCTCAAGTCGGTGTAAATTGCGAGTCTTCATGCGGCTCAGTTCACAGCTTGGCCAACTCGCATGTTCAAGTCGCACGCTTGTGGACTTAGTATTTTTCTTGCTCAGGAACCTTTGACCTTACCCAGAGTTACCTTACTCGCACATCTCAACACGCAGCTTAATCCCCAGACATTAATCTACAGGCATTGCGAGTTAACCAAGTCGCAAGACTATCTCGCCGGCTTCAGGTCTCCTCGGACCACTTCACATTCGGGGGAGAGTAACTCCCAGAATATAGATCCGAACGGCTTGATTCCAGCTGCAGTGGAAATGGAACTCAAACATCTCAACATTTGGTGAAGGAACCCAGCGCTTTGAAAGTGGAAGGTTCCCCGGAAGGCTCATCTTTGCAGTTTATTGACACGGTTAGAAAGAAGCTTCTAGACATGTGTCCACTCCGGAAACGTTATCTTCTTGCTCATGGCTCCAAATTGAATTATCTCAAACGTTCTGGAAAGAGGACTCAAATATCTCAAATCTTGATGACGTCCCTGTAGACTGAATCGGTCTGGAAGTGCATCGTCCTTCGCAATCTTCGCAGCTCATCGGGTTGGTCCAAAACGGTAGCGAGACAGGCGTGCCTTCCGGTAAGCTTTACTCTCTGCTCACGCCTCCAAATCCTATGATTCCACTTGCTCTGGAACCATGATCCAATCCTCTCCAACTTTGATGAATCTCCCGACAGCTTAATTAGATCGGAAGGTTCCCCGGACAGGTGATCTTTCAGACGTATCGGATTGCTCCGGAATGGATGCTAGATAGGTCTGTCTTCTGGTGACCGTATTTTCAGCTCAGGGCTCCAAATGCACTGATTCGAACTGTCCTGGGTTCTTGACTCGATTATCTCCAACTTTTCTGAAGACCCTGTAATCTGAATCGGCTGGCAAGATTTTCCGGTGGTGCGATTTCGGAGTTGTATCTGCATCCAGAGTTTTTGGCTGAGAAACTTGAACAGCGGTACGTGTTTTGGCCGAGAGGTTCACCCCCGGTACATGAAAAACGCCGAGAAAAGCTTCCTGCGGTACGTGAAAATCGCTGAGAACCTCCAAAAACCCATTTTCACCATCTTTCAAGCTCTGATCACCGTTTCTCTTCCTGGTTTCACCTTTTCAACTCCAAATAGCTCCAAATACACCTGATAGACACTCCAAACATGCAAAGATTCATTGGGACCTAATGACACTCCTAAGTCCTAAAACAACACCTAAGGACCTAATATGCACGAGAAATAACATGATTTGGAATGAAATATACAACCTAAATGATGCAAATTATGAACATATCAACTCCCCCACACTTGTCCTTTGCTTGTCCTCAAGCAAAAAAAAAACAAATGAGAGAAAAAGGTTGGATGCATTGGGAGTTCATATTTCTTAATGAGAGAGTGTATCACTAAAAGAATTCAAGGCTCACTGTCCTAGTTGCTAATTCTAAGATGCAGTGCAAACAAGATTACTCACAAAACTTTAGCCATACTCATCAACAAATGAATCAAGCTCAAGCTTAAGTTTTCATAAACAGCCATAGTTCCAACCTGTTGATATTCATTAAAGCTCATGTGAATCATGCTTATGCAAATCATGTGAACTCACTTGTCTTGGGACAGGGTTATGAGACAAAGATGATATCATTTAATGCTTATGGTTTCCATGCAGCTTAAGGGATCACTCAAGAAGGAATAAACTTTAACATAATGCTAAGGGTAAAAGGCAACTGGTGCATACAAGAGCAGAATCCCATCTACCCAATGCCCCAAATTGGTCTTTCTCCTTAACTCTACTCCCATGAAGATCACATCCTCTCTCAAGGCAATCGTTGCCTCATCAACCCACTCCTCACTTCACTTCTCACTCCAGGGGATTCATCTTTTCATCTTTAAACTCAGGCTTTGGGGTCTGAACCTTCCACTTAGCTCTTTCTCACATAACACTGTCTAGCCTCTTTTCTTTTCTTTTCAAACACTTGAGCCTTTTGGCTTCTTTTCTTTTCTTTTTACTTAGAGGCTAGACTTTTCTTTTCAAAACACAAGAGCTTTTCTTTCTTTAAACAGCAGACCCCAAACCGTTTTCTTTTCTTTTCCATCCCCTGGTTCTCATCTCAAACTTCCTCTTTTCCACTCAGAGTTTCTCAAGATCTCTTCCTAGCCTACTCTAGACTCATGATGCAGAGCTAGATCTACATGAGACTCTACTCTTGTCGCCCCTAAACCCAACACTTTCTGTCAGGTTTATTCAGAAAAAGGCCTCACATCTCTCACTGTAGTGTTTCAGGCTTCAAGGAAGGTTTGGTTCAAGGCAGGGAACTGTCTCAAGATAAGAGAACAGCTATTTGAGTTAGCAAACAGTGGTAAAAAGGATAAGAGAGCTCAAATATTTTAAGGGTACCCATGAGTTCACAATGACATGCACAAACAATGATAATTAGATTGTCAAATTATGGTTCTCACTTAGATAAGGCTGGAACAAATCAAAGCTTGATTCACTCAACAAGTTCAAAGCATGGATCAGTCTTGATTTCTTTCTTGTTTACATGCATCAAAGAACTAGAAACTAGGGCAGTGAACCGAATTCTTAAAGTGATATTCTCTCAAGGAAAAACCTATCATCACTCCCTTGCATTGATGCAGCCTATATGAATATGCAACTAGACTCAATCCT